CCAACATATTGGAGAGCTTGTGGTTTTATTTTTAGGAAAATAAGGTTTTACCAACATATTGGAAAACCTTATGATTTTTAATAAAAATTAAATTTTGGAAAAAGGAAAAAATAGTTTTCATAAAATACTACCAACATATTGGAAGAAAATTTTTGACAAAAAATTTTACCAACATATTGAAGGATATTTCTGGATTTTGAATCTCTGATGATAGAATGACAAAGAACATTACAAATAGTAATTTCTATGTAAATTCTTAGCTAAAAAATTCTTTCTAAATTTTATCAGTATATTGGAGAATTTAGAAAAGATTTTCAATACCAAGATTCCTAAAAATCCCATTTATCACGTATAAAAGTTTTTTATGAAAATTAAATAAATTCAATGACAAAGCCTCTTCAAAGTGTGACAAATAATCTCTTTGAATACTTTTGAGGTAAGGGAATGTCCTAAAATTATTACCAACATATTGGAGTAATTTTAAGACAATTTCTAATAACTAATTATTTGGTAAGATTTTTAAGGCTTTGGATAACATGAGATCAAACTGATAACATTTTTTGCATGGGTATTATAACGGTGCTATAACATTTTTTACACATAATCGTACTTTCGAAGCTAGTTCTGATTTTATAAATTAGAATCTACCTTTTAAAGATACCTAAGTTAAGCTTGGGACTTCTCATTAAAATGAAAAAGATTTAGTTAAGTGGCCAATTGCACCTAAACAAAAAAAATTGATAGTGACTCCTTAAGACAAGTCTAGTTATAGGTCTATGGATCTATATGTTATGACATAGACGTTCGTTCATTCATATTTAGTTCATTTACATCCCTAGTTATATTATTTTTTTTATTGGTTTGGAAAATTAGAAATTAAATGGTGAACAATAGGAAATTCAAATACAAAAGTTTGCTAATTACTAAAGCATTTCAAGAAGTGGTAGTAGGACAGTTTCCTTGGATAATGATTTTTAAAGAGAATACCATTGTTAAGCTTGTTGATGTGAGTTTATGTTTATATTATTTTTTTTTTCATTTTTTTTTGTTATTGATTTTATCACAATTGGTAGTTCGAGTTTGTGAGATGAATAGGTGAAAGGAAGGAAATTTTGAAATATTGCTTTCTTGCATGTTTAAATGTTCAAATTGAAAATTTTTATCATGTCTTGGTTTTTGGATTGACTGGATTAATGTCCTATCATCCATGATTTTTCTAGGAAATGTGATTGGAATTTTTTAGTTTGGTTTGCATGATTGTAAATATTTGGAGTTGATTGGTTGCTTTCCATTACACCATTTCAATTTCGTTAACATATTAATTTCACTTTTAAACTTGATTGTAAATATTCATATCAATATACTAATTGTTAAACTTAAGTCTTCTAGCAATTTAACAGTTCTTTTTTATCATAGAATCATTTTTCATTCAATTAATATGCCAATTGAATGCTATTTGTTCATGTATGAAAGTCATGTGGCGAGTTAAAATGAATCATAAGTGATTTATTCAACATGTGTTGTTGTGCAATTATCTTAATGCCACGTTATCGATTTTGCTTCATTTTAGTTTTTAATGGCTTGTGATATGCTAATTCCTTTGAAGATGTTTGAGGTTTGTATGAAAATTTTCTAAAAATTTTTTGGTTTGGTTATTGTGAAAATATGAAATTATGGGTTTTTGTTATTTCTTTAGCATTTTGTGTATGATTCATATGAAAAAAAAAAATGAGATTTGTTGGAAAAAAAATTACGAATTTTTCTTGATTCTTTAGTCTTTTTTCTTGATGAATGGTGAAATTAATATTTGATTTTAAAATTAAGATTGTAGCAAATTTTAGTTTTTAAGATATTTCTACGAAAACTTTTTAAAATATTATTTCGTGATTGATAGTGAGTTGATAGATGTGATTGAAGTAGATTTTATTTTTTCCCTAAAATTTGTAAGCATTAGTTGTGGATTTGACAATTTTAGGTTAAGAATGATGGTTTCATTTCTAAGCTCAGTGGTATAGAATGGTAGTGAAGGGAATTTCTCATGCATTCCACTACACTTTGTTTTAAGGAGTTTTATAATGCATAAGGTTTTTAATTCCCACAAAGAATCAAGTTCAAGTGTAATGATATTGGGTTGGTAATTTTTTTTTTTTGCATTATTCAAAACGCTAATTTATACTGATTTTTAACATGTTAATTAAGTCTGTTTCTTTTTCGAATGATAATGTTGAAGTTTATGTCTAAACTCAAAAGGTGATAAGTCTTGAGTATTGCAATCAATTATTTTCTACCTATTTAATGAATAAATAGATATTGTAAAGCATCAGTGAAACATCAAAACTCTCAATTTTTGGTTGTCAAAAGTAAAATTTTGTCTGTATCCCTTCTTACCCCCCATTTTATTTGATTAAGAGTATTCAGTAACAGATCTTAACATTTAGTTTTAGAGGAACCAACTAATGATATATGAGTTTTTTTTCAAAAAAAAAAATTTCTGTCATATTTATTAATGTAAATAATATATTAATAAAAATATAACGAGTTCATAAAATTATAAAACAAAAATATTATCGTGACAATATTATATTTATAATAATAATAATAGGATTTACAATTAATAGTAGAATTACTAATTACATAATTTATCAATGAATTATGGGAATTTTTTATTTTTTGGCAATTTAAAAATGAAATAAAAAAGAGATATGAATAAATCAATTATTAAACATATTATCAGAACAAAAAAAATTATATATACTCTTAAAAAAATGATGATAAAATTTTGAGATTAAAAGTTATAATATTTTTTTTATCCTTTTGTAAAATAGTTCCAATATAAATTTTTTTTGTTGAAAAAAATACAACAACTTGAGATATAAATCTAAAATAAAAATAAAAGTGAAAAATGATATGGAAGAAATTTTGAAGTAAGCTAAAAGAAGGTTAGAGATCAATTCTTAAAAATTGCAATATCCCTTTCCCTAAATCTCTTAGGATTGGTCTTTCTTACACCAAAAAAATAAAATAAAAAGAAAAGGAAAAACACATTTGATACTTATCGAAAATTTAGAATCTTATCGAAAAAATTAAAACTTTAATTTGACTTATATTAAGTTTATATGGTTGTGATTTAAAATTTATGGCAAATCTCCTAATTTTAAGAATTTACAAGTAATGATATTTAAATACAACAAACATATAAATATCAATGTGATTTAAATACCTCTTAAATTGTAATGCATAGATTAAGTAATAAAATTATTTAAAAAATTTATAATTTTAATTTAAGAATTAATTTAAATGTATTTAATATAAGTATATAAAAGAGTAAAAGATTTTTAAAAATGTCAGAGGGCTAAGGCCCCCTTCGGCTTCTATTATCCACCATCTCTGATGCTATGTTTGGATAGATATTAATAAAAGAAAGAAAAAGAAAGAAAATTTTTTTAAAAGAAAGAAAATGGTACATGTACCCATTGTTTGGATAGTTAAAATTAATAAAGAAAAAAAAAATTTTAACAACCATTACTTGCATAAATAGTAAAAAGAAAATGAAACAATTCATTATAATAATTTTTTTCAATTATAACAATTTTTTAATAAAGTAACATATAATATATAAATATATCTTTATATTACCTAATTTGTATAAACAAATCTTTCAAAATAAAATTAAACTTGTTTAATACGGTAAGATATATTAACTAATTATAGATTTACTCTTAATTTTGTGTTTAATTTAACTTTTTAATTTATTCTAACAATAAATTGACTTGTTTTGTTGTTAAGACTTGAAAAATTATAAAATATTTATAAAATGTGATATTATATAAAATGTTCATAAAAATAAATTATTTTTGTAGAATGTATTAGTTATATAATCAAATCTAATGTTATAAAAAATATGAATTGAGGTATTAAAAAAGTAAAAATTATAAGAGAAACAAAAATTATTTGATTTCCACCTATTTTTTTTAAATTAAAAGTTTATCTAAATAAAAAAAAAATTTCTATTTTCATTACTTTTTTTTATTTTCCTTTTCTTTCCTTCCCCTCTCCTCAATCCAAAATAGTATGAAAGTATTAATACATTGTTAAGTAAGTAGATTTAATTTTTGGGAATAAACTTCTTCTCGAAGAATAAGTGAAATGATATTTTTTATTTATAATTTTAAATAAGCTAGGAAAAAGCATTGTACACATATATGCACATGTACAAATAACATGAGATATAATGATTTATTTATTTATTTATTTTCATAGCTTGGAGATCAAGATGAAAAGCTTGCCTAACATATCAAACTTTATGCAATATCAATCATTGCAACTTCAAAACAAGCCATTCTCAATGATCTCATAACAGTAAATTATTTATCTTCTTTTACTTTGTCACATTGGTTTAAGTATTTCTTTTTTTTTTTTTTGTATTTTAAGTATTTATTAGTAGATTTGTGGATTTAGATGTTAAAATTTTGAAGGAAGCTTTTTCTGAGAATTGAGCATGGATAGAAGACCATGCTAATATAATGTAGCTACAGGTAGGGAGTTTTTTTTTTTCCTTTTCGTTATTTTTCTCTATTGGTTAGTATTTTTCTCTTTTTAGCATGAAATTGGAATTTTATGATGCATGAATCGAAGAAAAAGAAATATTAATTTTTAATCTTTCACCAAATTATAATTTTTTTTTTGTATGCCTAACTTTTAATCTCCTTTATTTGGTACATAAACACAAATATAATACATTTAGATATTTTTAATTCTATCTTTGTAATACAGCCTAGGAAAATTGTAAGATTCCATATCTCGTACACGCACACAAAAAAAATGTTGCAGTAAGACACAGATTGATATCTAATTAATTTTAATCTTATTTTTAATTTCGTCATTATAACAATTAATCTTACTATCCCCACTATAAACCAATTTTATACAGCTTGAGAACCAAATAAGCAGAAGTGGGTAAAAATGGGCCGAAGGCTCAACAAACCTTTTTTATACGTACGGCCCAATAAAAACTTTATTCCGCTGCAAAAGGCAAAGGGTTATGCGCTTGTACTGTTTATCAAGAGCAAAACCTCAACCTGCAGAAAATACGGTTTTTTGGGACAATTTGAAGAAGGCAATGGCTTCTCTGTTCAGGGTATATTATTCACTTTCCCAGCTTCTTTCAAAAGGTATTTATTAGTGATAATTTTTTTTCTGATTATTTAAATTTGGGTGTTGGTTGGGGTTAAATCATAGGACCCAGCTAAGCTTTCAGCGTACCGGGACAGAAGATTTAATGGTACGCAAGAGGATTTCGAGCAAGCACTCCTTACTTCCACAACCGTCTATATCGGAAACATGTCTTTTTACACAACTGAAGAACAAGTTTACGAGCTTTTCTCACGAGCCGGTGAAATTAAGAAAATAATCATGGGCCTCGACAAGAACTCTAAAACACCTTGCGGCTTTTGCTTTGTCTTGTAACTCTCTGTTCATTTTTTCCCCCTAGAACATGTTAATCTTTGTCTTTATTTTAAAGATATTAATTTGCTGTTGGATTTTTTTTTCTTCATCATCAGGTATTATTCTAGGGAAGATACAGAGGATGCCGTTAAATACATTAGTGGGACAATTCTTGACGACCGTCCGATTCGTGTAGATTTTGATTGGGGTTTTGTTGAAGGAAGGCAATGGGGCCGTGGTCGAAGTGGTGGCCAAGTGAGTTCTTTTATTGTGCCTACAATTTTACAAATGTTTGACCAAATGCACATTTTAAGGAGAAGGTCTTCGAATTGGATGTATAGTTTTGGACTTGTATATTATGGAATTAAGATATGTAAAATGAGATGGAGAGTGTTGCCAAATTTATATTTCTAGTATATGAATTGATTTAGTTTTATATTTTTGCAGGTGCGAGATGAATATCGAACTGATTATGATCCTGATATCCTTTTGGCTTTTATTTTTGAATTTTGATGCTCATAATTTCTTATATTGTTCAGACACACAAAAGATGCATATTTATGAATAATGAAGTCTAATATTGATTCATAATTTTGGATAATCACTTGTTTCCAAAACTAAAGAGTCGAGGTCTCTTCAGCATGTCTTTTGTCTATATATATGGTCTTCTCCCTTAACATGCTTTACGCAGAGGTGGCTATGGAAAATTAGTTCAGAGAGAGTTGGAAGCGCAAAGACAGCTTGTAGATTATGGTGCTGGGTCACTGGGCTCATTCCCACCCGTTGTGCCTGCACATTGTGAGTTTCTAATGACTGTTAGAAATGGATCTCCAGCTTGTCAGTTAGAATTATTCCTTTTTTCTTTTGCCTTAAGGTTGCCTATTGCTCATTTTAAATGTTTGTGGGAGAGAAACGGGCATTCACTGGTTAGTTTGGAGAAATGCTGCAAGTTTATTTATTTTACTAGCAATGTTTGAAAATGAGTTTAGATGGCAGAATCTAATATGATTTGTCAAATCTACTATTCGTACTCCTGTTGGTACAATAGTACATCCTTAGACTACATGCTATATATCAAAGAGCCAAGAAAAAGAGAAGCAAATAGTTTTAACCGGAAACTGTAAAATGATAATCCGCAGAAAGAAAGGTTCAAGGTCTATTTGAAATGGCTGCCCTCTCCTTTGAGCTGTGTTGTAAATTAGGAACATATTTGGCAAAACTGTACTTATGATCATATTCTTGATAGATTGTAGATTGTGTGCTTTTGGCAGTTAGGTATATTTATTTCTTTTGTTTCTCAGTTTACCAGAAAAATTCATTACCAATATCACTTGATCCCTGTGTGATTAATCCTGTGTACTGAAGTCAATCTCCTGGATACCATTTAACTTATTATGTGCTTATAGGCTTTTCTGTCCATTAATGTGCATCTCATGTTGTTTTGGGTGTTAATATGCTCAGAAAGGAGATAAACATACTGACATCTTGTAAGTGCAGATGGTAGGCATGGTGGGGGCCATGGCCATGGAGGTTCTCATCGTCATGGGAGAGGTATATACCTTTGAATAGTATGTCTAATTATTCTTGTTATATATATGTTTGTTTGAGCCATTCCTATATTTGACTAATTGTCCATAAAGTAGATTACCATCGGAAGCGACATCGAGATGATGACCGCTATGCACGTGAGTCCTCAAAGAGAACTTCAGATCATGAACCCAGGAGAGATTCAGACCATGATTCTAGACCGGTAATGCTTAATAGCACTATGAAGAGTCTATTGTTTGATCGATAAATTTTGAATTATTGGTATCCCCTACTTGCACTTGTTCCTTTGTTTTAGTTGTCAAGAGTAGGGGTGTAATTAAGTTGAGCCGAGCCGAAACACTAAAAGTCTTGAGCTCAACTTGAAGGTCATTGCTTCAAGTTCAAGTTGAGCTCGATCAAGATCTATTTTTCTAACTCGAGCTCGACTCGAGATGGAAATTGAGCTACTCAAGCTCACTTGAATAAGCTCGTAACCTAGTAAAATTTACAAGTTCAATTACTATATTTGACCTCAAACTCGATTATTGAATATTCAACTCAAGCTCAAATTGAGAGAAAATTAATTTTTTTCTTATATATACCGAGGATAAAGTTATTCATAGATAATTAAAAATGATCTATATATAATATTAATATATAGTAAAAAATTTTAAAATAAAAAATCTTGAATAAGCTTACGAGCTACTTGACCCGAGCATTAAGATACTAGGCTCAAACCGCTCAATAATTCAAGCTACTCAAACTTGAGCTTGCCTTAGCATTGCTGGAGTCAAGTTTGAGTGATTTACGAGCCAAGCTTGAGTAATTCACTGAGTATATAAGCTTATTAACACTGCTAGTCAGGAGATACTTTGGGGTGGAAATAGATAAGCTTTAGGAAAAATGCAATATGGGAAAGGGAGAAAATTAAAAGGAAAAAAGATTAAAAAATGCAAGGATGCTATTTGCATTTTCAAATCTCCATGTCCTTTTCACTTTGTATGACAAATTGTATAATCAATACTTTTTGTTGCATGCTTTAAACCTCTATTTTGACCAACAGGAGAAGAATCCACGTTTCCGCGAGAGTGGTGATTCTGATGATGAGGATGAAGATGATCGGAAACAATGACCTTAATGGATTTATATATATATATATATATATATATAGTGTAATATCTGGAATAACATTTGGTATTTTTATGTATTTTGTAAGGGGTGCTGGACAATATTTAGGACAAAATGGAGTTTTCTCGCTACTATTGATGAGCAGCAAATCCTGCCTGCTGCTGTCTCAGATCTTGGTTCTAGGCTTTTGTTGTATGTTTAAAGGTGAATATTGATGTCTTTTTTTTTTTTTTTTTTTGCCATCTATTGTTCTTTCTAGTGTGATGGCCTTGATTCTAGTGGTTCACTCCGGATGAATTTTCTTTGTAGCATTTTGATAATGCAAGAACTTCCATGGTACGGGTGTCGAGAAATTTCAAATCAATTCAAAACTTAGTTTGAATTTGGTTGACTTTTAATTTTTAAGTTTGAGTTTGATTTTAAATAAAAGTTAAATTATTTGAACTTTTTCAAATAAACTTGTTTTTTTGATAAAAAAAAAAAATTTGAATCTCATGTTTAAATTCAAGTTTAATTATTTGTATTCGAATTCAAATAGATATATTATATAAATATATAAAAATTAAAGTCGATGACAAAAATGATAATTGTCTTATGTGGATATTTATTTTTTCAACATGTTGGATATTTTATGTTAGAGCTATGTGTTTACTAATTAATACATTTAATTTAATTTAATACATTTTTAAAAAAATAATTTATTTTAATTAAATGAATTACATATATTTGTTTTGAATATCTAATATCCTTGCCTTCTATGAGTGAATTATGATTAATTTGATCATTAATACAAAAAATTAAAATTAAAGAAGAAAGCACATTAACGGTGAATATTTTTTTATTTCTTCTAGTTGATATTTACGAGCTTATTAACAAATTAGTTTTCAATAAACATTAGCTTTCAATATAAAATTTCAAATCTTAAGTTATGGGTATGGACTTTTCGGAACAAAAACATAAACAAGTCGAAATTTTTTCAAAAAAAAAAAAAAAAAACTCATTATAATTGGTTTGCATAATTTTTTATATAAATTATGCCTAAATGAATATGCAATTAGAACTTATATAAAGCTTCTTTATTGATTATGTTCTACCCATAAAAATTTTCTACTATAAATAGGGCATCTTGATATGTTAAACTGCATGAGAGGCTATTTTTCAATTGCATTGGCTTTGCATCTAGGTAAAGCTCCACCCACCTAATTCACTTAGTATTTGTTTAATAATTTATATTTCAAATTAGGAGTGCTTTGATTAGTTTTAATTTTTTACCTTTATCATGTAATGAAAATGAAAACTTAATTTGATTGTTTACAATATTTTTACAGTTTGAATTAAAATAATTATCTTTATCACTTCGTATCTCTTTTTTTTTTTATAATTTTTTATCTCTATTTGTTCGGTCATGGTTGATGCAAAAATTCTCAAATATTTCATGAAATTTCGCCTCCAACTTGAAGATTTAAGTGTAACCACAAAAAATACAATATTTTTCAAACTTGATTAATTTATCTTATAAGTCAAATGCAAGTGGCTTGTTTATCTTCTTTGCTAAAATTGAAAAATATTACACTTTTTTTTTATGCAATTTCGTTATAGTACACTTTTTGCTAACTTTCTCCTTTTGACCCAAGTAATTGTAATATTCTTGATATACACTATTGTATTTGGTTAAGGGAACTTTGTTAATTCCAGGTTTTCTACAATATATGTAGTTAGCATATACAATTGATAAATGATACCTATTTGCTATCTAACATTTGATTTTTTTTTTTTTTTAATTTGATAAATGCGCAGGTTTTAGGGCATTTTACATTTTCTATTGGTGCGAATCTGTTTTTTTCTTTTTTTTTTTTTATAGGCTATAAATACTTAATGATGATAGAGTAATTCTTCCTAATTATATAGCAGATTTGTTGTTGTTTTATAGCATGACTTGCTTTATTTTGTATATTTCAATTTTTTTTTTCTTCTGTATTGAGATAAAGAAATGTTGATATTAATTGACATTTTTACTATAGTTTACATGTTCTTTTGCATTTTTATTTCCATTCTCTCTTGTTTTTTTTTTTTTTAGTTTTGTTGTTATATTGTTAAACATTTAGTTATTTGCTAAACCACAAATCAATATTTTTTTTAATTAAAATATCTTATATTTATATAAGATATATAAAAATAAAAATTTTGGGTAAAAAAAAACTATCCTATTGGATAGTCTAGCTTTTTTAACACAGGAAAACCTTGATAATTATCATATATCTATTACTTAATGTTTTTTATTTAATTTGATTTGATCTTGATGAAACTAATTTTATTGATAAATCTTTTTCTTAATTATTTTTAATTCTTAATTAATTTGATTCTGATTAAATTAATTTATATTTACTTTTTTAAGAAAATATAATCAAAGTGTAATTAACGGTACTATATTTCTAGGTTTTCATGTAAAAAAATGATTTTTGATTAATTGATACAGCCATATTTGATTCAAATAAAATAAAATGTACTTTTCAATTAACTAATTGTTGCAACCCTAAATATAGAAAACCAAAATATTTGTTTTATTTTTTTCCATGATCATGTTTTGGAAATATTTTATATCCTTTTTTTTTTTGTCTTAAGCTAGCAAAATCTCAGTATATGTACGTTAATTTAGTGAGAATTGAATCAAAAAATATATTTTTTTATGATCATGCGTGAATAATTTTTATTCTCAATTCTTTTTAATAAAATAATTTTATTCTCAACTCATTTTAATATACGTAAATATAATTGTGAATTGAATTACTTTATTTTACAAGCTTCATATTTCATTGTTGTGTATGGGTTTTGCAATTCATTTTTACATTAATCTACATTGTTCTTTCATATTAATAATATTTTTGGATTTTTTGTTATAATTCTTTTTCAATGCACGAGGAAAAGGCTCAAACCCTTGAAGAGATTCAAATTTCATGAATATTATATATGCTTTATTTTTTTTTCTTTTTGCAATGAAAAATTAAAAGAATTTATTTCAAAGCATGGGTAGTTGAAAAAGTAATGACAAAGCTCAATATAGAGGTAAGCTTATAAAATACATTTTCAATGAAAAGAATGGGTATGGAAAATTAATATCATATATTTCAATCATTTTCTTAGTAGCATATTGATGTGTTTTTTTTTTCATTAATCTCCTTACATGTATCTTATTTAGCCTTAAATTGAAAAAAAAATTAAAAAAACATCAAGAAAAAGAAGAAAAAGGAAAAAATTAAGAAAGAGTAATGAAAGATAGTGAGTGACTTTGTTTGGTATAGAATTGCAAAATGCAATTTTAAGAAAAAAAATTCTGCATAAAATTAGTTGGTTTTTTGGTTTGTGCTTTGTATTGTATCTGTTTAATAATTATATTATAAGCGTTCTTTTTTTCATTTTAGTTGATAGAAAGCTGTAAATGTTTCTACATCGAGTATATATTTCGATAATTGGAAATTGGAAATTTGAAATAATATTTTAATATATTATCTTATTATGATGTTTCTTGATATATTTGTGGAGAAATTAGACCTTTATTAATTTAAATCATTAATAATATATAACAATTATTTCACAATATTTATTTTCTTTGAAAATATATGTATTCTATTTTCATATATTAAAGATGCAAAAAGAAAATTCAAGTTTATCTCACAAATTTATAAATTTATAATACAAAAGCCAAGTTCTGCATATTAAATGATTTTAAATAATATAATATGTAATAAAATTATAATTAATTTACTTTTCTTGTGTTATGCATAGACTTAAAACTAGTATATATAATAATAATTTTTTAATTAACACAATAAAAATATATAATAAAAAGTAAAAATTCAATTAAGATTGTAAGTCACTCAAGTGAGTATTAAAAATTTTAAATTATGTTTGGTCGATAAATAAAATTGCTTGAATTTGATTTGACAATAATCAAATCAAATTTAAATTTTATTTAAGTTTTATTTGAGTTAAATTTAAATAATTTATGAGCAAAGAAAGGAAACAATTTGCAAATGTTTATTCTTTACATCCGTTTAACTAACTTTGGGCCTGTGAAGAAAGCAACTCTCGCAGCAAAATACAATTTATGTTGACCTAAAAAACGAGTACCTTATGAAGGTGGAGACAATGATTGGATACAAATAGCCAAAACAGAGAAGAGAATTGAGAAAAGCAAAAGCCAACTGCAATTGAAGGAATCTAAGTATCCATTTTTCATAACTAGATTATGATAAACATTCCAATTACAAAAATATCAACAACTTTCTGTGTGACAAAACTGTTAAGATAGAGTAAGAAAAAACAAAAGATCCTGCTTCATCTCGCTACAGCCAACATTCAGTTGAGGATTCAAAGCAAACGTCATAGAACTTGGGGATTTGCAGTCTACTGCCATTGAACTACAGATAACGGCAGACGTGTAGGGATGATTGATGTGCAAAGCATAGTTCCTGGAGATAAGTTAATGTTCAACTCACTCAACCTATTTGATGATTCTTCTTCTAGGAATTGACTTAGTCACGATGTTTCCAGGAGCACTATGAGCTTTTCTTCTTTGTTCTTTCCTTCTTTCTGCTTCAATCACTGTGCGTCTGAGGTTGGCTGCCTTGTAAATTGGTTTTGGTAAGTGCCTGTGCCTGCATAATCATAACCAATTCAGGAGCATTAAGAACCTAATACGAAGATCATTTGTTCTCATTAAATATAGCTTGAAAATTTCTCCTGCTCTTAAGTTCATTTATCATCTTACAAATAAAACAAAATATAATATAATGTCAAAAGACTAGAAAGAAAAGAACAAGGCTTGATAAATAAATTTCCTAGTGCATAGTTTTGAATGCCCACCCCAAGGGAACTCCTCAAAAAAGGGAGGGCAATATGGGCATGTTTTGAAATTGTCATGGGTTAAGAAATGAGAATTCTTCAATTTCAATTTTACCTCACAATACGCTTGACTTCAGGAAGGTGCTTGTAGCGGTTCTTAACAGCTTCAACAGCTCACTGTTCTATCATAAGATCCAGTTACAAATTCTCGACCAGTTGGTGAGAAATCAAAATCCATTCTGGAAGGAAAAGGTGAGAAATTAATATTTTCGTGAAAATAGATTACTTAACCATAATAAGCCTAAAAACAGGTCATACACTATAGAAACATGGTTTTTGAGCACACACTTTGCCTCGTCCAGTTTTCTAGCATCATAGCTGTAGCAGTTGCAATCCTCATTTGCCTGCATTTAAAAGAGTTCTTCATGAAAGAGATTTCTTGAACAAATGTTTTGTTCCTTTTTTCTTTCATTTCCTTTCTCTTACTTATCTTCTCTGTGTTATTTATTTATTTATTTTGGGTGGGTGGGGGAGTAATGCTGCAAAAATTTATCAAACTACTGAGAAGATTGGCATCAATCTTAAACACCCTAGAAGTCATATAAGAAAATGTTAACATATGTTTCATGGAAAGACTCTTCAACTTGTTTCCCCTTACCGCAGTGAAGTTCATAGGCTCCATTGGATTCCAAGCAATAGAATTGTTTTGTCTGTAAAAAGACGATACAAGTCAGATTGCCTTTGAAAAAAGTGCTGAATTTAATATTGATGGAAAGCTATCAGTATATGCAATAAAATTGTTATTGACAAAAATGCATACATATTGTTGGAAAGCTATCCTTAAATGCAAAGTTTAAAGTAACAACCACTAAAAGCTATATTTGCTAAGCTCTATTGCGTTCCAATATATTAAATCTAAATGTAACAAGTTCTGCAGCTTTTCTAAGGAAAATCACCTACCATTTATAATGGATAAAAAGAAGCAAAAAAATTTAGATTTGCAATAAAAATGATATGATTTTATCATTTCAAGCAAAAAATAAGGATTCCATGTTTTCAAACTCAAATGTGTCCAGAATTACCCTCATGATAACTTTCCTTGCAGGGGATGACATCCGCAGATCATATAATGTTATGCTCCAGTCATTAAAAACAAAAATGGATGTAAATAATCATATACTCTTTGTATGACATGCTAAAACATTGTAAATGAGTAAATGCATTTTCAGGAGGGCAACCGAGCTCCCCAAAGTAAAATAAAGGTAGGGAAGATAAATCAAATTACCAAAGACAGACTACATAATGCATAATGCACATCAATCTACATAGCTAATTGCTTTACGTAAACAAACTGGCAACCACATTGAATAATTTTCTTTTAATTTACATATTATATTAACAACCAAGCTTCAAAATTTGAGGTTCAGAAGTTTAACCTCATGCAAAATATGAACTAAAAGTAGCATTAAATTGAAAACTGCTAGCTAGAAGCCTATTTCAAGAGTTAATGACATACTACTATCACCGATAAAAATCCCTTAAATTACAGAATAGCATAAATCAAATTCAAGATCAATTATAAAAGATTGTGTTTCTTCAAATAAGAATTGACCATAAACAAAAAAGCAACATATTTTCAACTACCTAACCATCTATTGTGACTGGAAAGCATAGATTAATAGCATATGACACTATTCCTAGCTGCTATGTCTTGGAAACAAGATCACAAAATAGCATAGAAAGAGTCATGAGAACCTTATGGTAGCCAAATATATCATTGGAAGGATACACCGCTTTGGTCACTCTACAAAACAAGCTGGTTGACATTATGGATCTCACTACACTCTACCTCTTCCTAATTTTATCTTCAATATATGATTCAAGGGATGAAAGCAGAACATTATCATTCTGTTTCAGTCGTCTATTTTAACTTAGGATGAAGCATATGATGATTAGAAAATTTGAGAGGTTTGAACTCAACGTTATATCACAAACCAATTGTGTTAACCACATACTACTCGATCTAGGTGCAGGCTTCTATCCATACTTAGCTGATGTTGCCATAAGGTGAAAAGGCTAAAAGAACAAAGATACTTTCTAGCAAGTCATGATCCTTACCAAAATGCATTCTTCCAAACATAAACTGCCAGTGGTTGAAAAATACCAGTTTTAGTTAGTTTAGAATGATAGCACTGGAATTCTTGGTCAAGGAAGATAGAAAGTAAAAAGGTGGGAAGATAGAAAGTAAAAAAGAGGAAGTGCTAGGGTTTAGGGTAGGAATTGGAGAGAAAAAAAATTAAACTATGACGTATTCTTTGCAGAAATACAAGAATATATAAAGAGACATACCTTGGCTGAATTATCAGAAAGGTTATCCAGATCTGCAAGAGTAGCATCAGGAACATTCCAGAGCCTAACACTAAAAAATGTACAGATTAAAGGAGTGAGAAAATTTAGGTGATAATTTGAGATAGTACAACTATTTAAGTTGCAGCTTAATCGGCATTCACTCCCTGCTGGAAATAAACTTTAACTATTAAAATTTATGTCTTACGTGCAATCACTTCCACATGATACAAGAATGCTTCCATCTGTCGATACTGTCAAACCTTGTACAGCACCTTGGTGACCAGGAAATTGGCAAACTATTCGCCTTTGAATCAAAATTTCAAAAATATGTAAATCACAGTGCATTTTAAATAAGAAAGTAACAGTATGAAACCACCACAAAAGCATTAATGGAGAAGAATAAATGAGTTACTAAACTGATCTTGAAACCACTATTGCTACCATCATTGTAGTACTATGAGGAAATTGAAAAAAAGAAAGTAATTGTTAATAGCATTGTTTCAAAGCTCTAATTTATTTAATCATTTGATGAAAGATTGGGAGGGGGAGTTAAAATATTAAGATCCTAACTAACCAAAGCTGCAATCAAAGAGGTGTAGAAATACTTGGAAGCTAAATCCCAAAAACGAATATCTGAAAAAGGATGGGAGATAAAAAATCAGAAGTTTTAGTTGCAGTTACTTACTCATATGAAGGCATTGGTATTTGGTACTAAAGAGATAAAAATGAAAAAAAAAAAAAAATAGTATGTTAAAATGTTTACCTCCATCATCAGAACCAGAAAAAATTGCTTTCAAGTAATTTCGGTTTTTGGCCATACACTTGATGGAATCTCTATGCCCATCCATAGCTCCAATAAAAGGGTCTTGCAAATACCTAAACAAAGTGATCAAATAATAGTGAGCGATTTTCAAATAAAACCAAACTAACTCAATCCCAAAGTTCGATATTTAACCTTGTCCAGTTTGGCGACGTTAAGAGCGCGGACATACTCAACGGCTTTCTCTTGGGTTCGAAGGCTGGGGTTGAAATTACGAAACACCCTCTGGAGGTCTTGGCTTCGTTCCTGTGTGAATTCATCAGTGGAACATGATATTACTTTCACCTTCATTCTCTTTATCTCTCTTGTTCCTGTTTGGGCTTAGGGTTTATAATTAATTCAATAAAAATGAATGTTCAGAGAAGCAGAGTATTAGTACTTAGTACGCGGTTTCTTTCTTTCAGAGAATCAGAAACAAAACCCCTAAATTTGATGTTGATGGAGAGTTAAACCCTAGCAGTAGAGACAAGAAAAGCAGCGGGAAGATGATTTTCCTTCAACTGGATAATTTTTTGTCATATACAGCCCAATATCAGGCCCAATCCATCTTCTTCCTTTTTTTTTTACTGACATTAAAATCTAAACTCTAATTGTTACAATTAAAAGTCCACGCTGGTAGCTAATTTTGTCTCTTTTTTTGAAAGAAAAGAATCTTTGTAAGCAAATTAATATATAGAAATGACTACTTCACAAAGAAATTTTTAAATAGCATTCAACCTAAAAATGGAGTTAAAATATATTTTAGTATGCAACTAAAAAGAGAATGCTTATTATTAGATATTTGATTCTAACGTTTGATTAAGAATAATCTGATTTTGCAAAAATTGATAGATTTTTAATAGTACCTAAAGTTTCAGAATCAAAAACCTATATCTTCTTATGATATTTTAGGATTCCGGAGTAGAAAGTAGCGTTATTTTTAAATTTGATCTGACTAAAAAATTGTGAAATAACCATTACCATTTGAAAAGCATGTTTAGATGAATACAAGTCAGTTATAGGTTTCTGCTATTAAAAAATTTGGTTTATATATGACGTTTGGCATAAAAATATCTTCAATAATCCATTTCAAAAAATTAAATAGAGTTATTCAAGGTATTTCTAACTAAAAACGTCTTGAATAATTCAATAAAAAAAGGTACGAGATTATTGAAGATATTTTTTGTCAGAAACACCTCGAATAACCTCCATTAAATTTTTTTATAAGGGATTATTTAAGGTATTTTTTATCAAACCCTAATAGTAAGACAAGAAAAGCAACGGCAAGATGATTTTCCTTTGATTGGACAATTTTTTGTCATATATAGCCTAATATCAAGCCTAATCCATCTTTTTTTTTTTTATTGACATTAGAATTTAAACTCTAATTATTAAAATTAAGAGTTTATGTTGTTAGCTAATTTTCCTTGAAAGAAAAAAAAAACCTTTGTAAGCAAATTAATAAATAGAAATGACTACTTCACAAAGAAAATTTTTAAATAGTATTCAACCTAAAAATGGAGTTAAAATATATTTTAGTATGCAACTAAAAAAAGAATGCTTGGCTTGTTTATGATTTTTGTAAATATCTAATTTTGTCCTAGAGGCATTTGGTTCAAAAAAATCCATACATTTTTTTTTCAAAATTTTACTATTGGGTATTTGATGTAGAAAAATTTTGTTTGAATGTCTCAATTAAGTTGATATTATTTGTTTAGGCTTCATTTGTATTTGTCGGGTTTGATTAGAGTCCAATTCAAATAGGTTTAAGTTATTTGGGCTATAACACTTTGAAGTACTACATTTAGACTTAAAGGGTTTAAGTCTAAAATTCATTTTTTTTTCATTTTTTAAATTTAAAAGAAATTATTAAATTCAAAAAATTCAAAAAAAAGTAAATTAAAAATAAAACCAAAATTAAAACGGTATCAGCCTGCCAGCCACCTTGCCAATCCTTCATCCCCATAATATGCTACCCTTTTTTTTGTTTCTTATAACTCACCTTTGTTATTTTAATCCTATACCAACAACCACTCTTTTCTTATGATCCTAAAACTCCCATTATCTTATTGTCTAACATCTTAATCCTTTTCAAGATCCCAAATTGCTCTATAAAGCTAAGAACAAACTCCACCACTTAACCAACAAGCCACCCTTTTACCCATATCCATCAACACCCGAAAGCTTCCATAATCGACCCTAGCATAACCAAACTCCAAAAACTTCACAATGATGTGAAAGAATTTTGATTTCTTATGCTTATCTCGAAACCATTTGAGTGTTTTGATTAGATTGATATTATTTGTTCAGGCTTCATTTGTATCTATTGGGTTTGATTAGAGTCCAATTCAAATAGGTTTAAGTTGTTTGGGCTATAATGCTTAGAAGTACTACGTTTAGACTTGAAGGGTTTAAGTTCAAATTTCATTTTTTAAATTTAAAAGAAATTATTAAATTCAAAAAATTCAAAAAATAAGTAAATTAAAAAAAAAACAAAATTGGGATGGTATCAACCTACCAGCCACCTTGCCAATCCCTCATCCCTATAATATGCTACCCGTTTTTTGTTTCCTACAACTCACCTTTGTTCTTTTAATAATATACCAACCACCCATCTTTTTTCTCATGATCTTAAAACTCCCATTAGCTTATTGTCTAGCATCCTAATCCCTTTTAAGATCCCAAATTGCTCTATAAAGCTAAGAACAAACTCCACCATTCAACCAACAAGCCACCCCCTCACCCATATCCATCAACACCCGAAAGCCTTCACAGTCGACACTAGCATACCTAAACTCCAAAAACTTCACAATGATGTGGAATAATTTTGATTTCTTATGCTTATCTCGAAACTATTTGAATGTCTCGATTAAGTTGATATTATTTGTTCAGGTTTCATTTGTATTTGTTGGGTTTGATTAGAGTCAAATTCAAATGGTTTAAGTTGTTTGGGCTATAACGCTTAGAAGTACTATGTTTAGACTTGAAGGGTTTAAGTCCAAAATTCATTTTTTTCATTTTTTAAATTTAAAAAATTATTAAATTAAAATTTTTTCAAAAAAATAAGTAAATTAAAAAAAAAAATGAAAAACCAAAACTGGGATGGTATTAGCTTGCCAGCCACCTTACCAATCCCTCATCCCCATAATATACTACCCTTATTTTGTTTCCTACAACTCACCTTTGTTCTTTTAATCCTATACCAACCATCACTCTTTTTTTCTCATGATCCTAAAATTCTCATTAGCTTATTGTCCGGCATCCTAATCCTTTTCAAGATCCCAAATTGTTCTATAAAGCTAAAAACAAACTCCACCACTCAACTAATAAGCCACCCATTCACCCATATCCATCAACACCCGAAAGCCCTCATAGTTGACACTAGCATATCCAAAATCCAAAAACAATCCAATAGTATTAAAAAAACACATAAAAAAGGAGACAGAAAAAGAGGGTTTGAAAGAAAGGCGACATTTTTTTTTCAAGCAAAAAAGGTAGACTTGGCTTTTAAGTTCTTGTTTACTTTATCTTGTAAGTATAACCTTAAATCCAAATAACAATATATAAATATTAGAATACCAAATTTGATCATATTACGTACCTATTTGGGCAATTATAGAATATAAGCAAAAGTAACATCAATTATTAAAGAAACTATGTCTTCCACTTTGCTCTTCTCTTACTAGCAGCTTTCAATGGATAGATACCATTAATTAAAAGTAAAGAGGGTAAGTTAACCAAATATTATTGAAACCCTAAAAACCTTTCTATCAAAGGTTTAACGGGTCAAAGGCCCATACAATCGTTAAACTACACTAACCCTATAAGATGTGCAAAGCTTATATATAAGTGATCACAATTATTTGTTTGGGCTTTTATACTTGTCTCATATTAGGACTAAATTTAAAAGACAAGACTCTAGGTTAATTAATTTTACTTTGATATGGCCACAGTTTTAAAAATAATTTAACCCTTGAGACAACATCTTAATGATCTTATCTAATAAAGCTTTTTAATATTGAATTATGATAGCCCTTATGCCCCTTATTAACATAAGACCAATCTATGATTATAAATTCTAGTGACTCTATCAACACTGGATCTCAGTGTAGCTGTGTAGTAAGAAAATAACACTTAAATGTTATATCTATGAGTTATTTTCATGTCAGTTCTCTTGTCGATTTCTCTAAACTTGCTGAGAAATTTTTATGGCATTCAAATATGGTTGTACATCTCCTTTTTATCCTAAAAGTTACTTGCTGATATTATTTTTGAGATATACTTAAATGATATCAAAGTCTTACAAATACCAAATCTTAAGATTTTATAATATGACTTGTCAATATGGATGCGCACATGTAATAATAAACATATATACAAATAACAACTATTATATATATATATATAACAATTATGTCCACTTAACTTGATGGTATCACATAGACTTATTCATCTCAACCATATCTTATAAGTAATTAGCAATTACATGTGATACATTTAACAAAGTAAAGAAACCCAAAACAATAATGATTTCAAAAGTAAATTTAGAATGCATAATTGCCATAATCAACCCAATACCTTAACAAGTTTTATTTTTCATACCTGTAAATATCTATATTATGAGCTTGGTAATAACATAATCCTTACACAAAAAAAATATGTCGTGATATAATCAAATCACAATGACTCCCACTGATTTAACGAATCACAAACATGCTTAATAAAAAAGAAGCACTTCAATAAATGGAGTCATGAAAAAAATATGTATTATCCACCCTCATGCCAAATGCGATAACTATTATTGTTCTTAAACTTTCAGGATGTCACTTTAATAAGCCACTTACAAGTTACTAACATATTAAGAACAAAATTTCATATTCATATTTTCATACAACACAACATGAGATCATTTTCAATAAATTTAGAATTAATTGAATTACTAATTTTTTTTTTTTATCTAAAACAAGCCTAAACCAATAGCCTATTAACCCCCACTAACCTTAACACATATGATATCTTCAAAACAATAACTTTAGGGCTGTTACAAGTTTTTACTACTTTAAAATATATGCAAAAAAAATCTCACTGATTTTCATTTCCTTTAAAAGAATGGTTTTGGTATTAATAAAATAATAATGATAAAAAAGTCAAAACTTTTATATTATCATTCTTTGAAATAACTCTTAAAATTAATTCATATATAGTTCAAAACAAAGGAAATGAAATGAGTGAAAACAAATGATGGATTTAATGAATCAAATGTTGAAATGAATGAATTTGGTGAACATGGAATAGGTGTAGGTGACCAAAAACCTAGTGGAGAATCATCAAAATTTTATAGGTTGCTTGAGGATATGAATGAAGAACTTTACAAAGGATATAAGCATTTAAAGTTGTTTTTCTAAGTGTGCTTTTTTCACTTAAAATGTTTATGCAGATAGATGAAAAATCTTTTTGGCTTTATTATTGAAGTTTATGAAAGAAATGTTTCTTTTTGTAAAAATCTCTAAATCTTGTAAGGATTTAAAGAAGATG